ATTGTTACTTTTACTGGTGGTTTTCTTACCACTATAATGTTGGATTGGCTCATTGCAAGCTCTCTGTTTGACGTTAATCCTTACAATACACATAAACAGGCACAAACGATTTATAGAGCACTCTGGGATTAATAAACAGCACACAAGTAGTTGTCTCTTTTCATGTGTCATATCTCTGGTTGGAACTGCTGACAGAGCTCTCCAATAAGGTAATGTCACTGCTCTGAAACTGCTCTGATTCACTTGTGTATGTAAATTTCAACTTGCGTTATTGAGCTCTGTAAATAACAGGATTTTTTCAAAAAGAAAGCAAAAGGATTTACTGGAAAACATGGGGAGTCGCCTAAGGCTCCACAGCTGGCTAAAAAGGATACCAAATATTTCATATCTACACTGCCTGTCCAAAGAAAAAGTCACACATTCTAATATTTTATTGGACCACCTTTAGCTTTGATTACGGGACTCATTCACCATGGCATCATTTCCATAATCTTATGCAATGTCGCAACTTTTATTTCCCTCCAGAGTGGCATTAATTTTTTACCAAGATCTTTTAGTGACGATGGGAGAGTCAGACCTCTGTATAAAGTTTTCTCCAGCACATCCCAAAGATTCTCAATGGGGTTAAGGTCTGGACTCTGTGGTGACCAATCCATGTGTGACAATGATGTCTCATGCTCCCTGAACCAATCTTTCAGAATGTGAGCCCGATGGATCCTGATATTGTCATCCTGGAATATACCTAATGTGCCATCAGGGAAGACAAACTCCATTGATGGAAAAACCTGGTCATTCAGTATATTCAGGTAGTCAGCTGATCTCATTTTTTGGGGACATAACATTGCTGAAACTAGACCTATCATCCAATGGAAGACTTTGACCTATTTGCTTAGCTAAATCAAGTTGGTGACTTTTTTTTGGAATGGCAGTGTACCTAACCAAGAAAGCAAATCTTTTAGTTCTGGTCATTAAAAACAAAGAACAAATGTACAAAACCTCAAGATTGCTTTTAAGTCCAAAATCCAATATGTTTACTGCTAATGTTTATCAAGAAGGGTCTTCAGTATTCTACTACAGTTTGTCTAGGCAGTGCTGCTCTTCTTGAGCCCAGCTTCTAGGGAGGAGGTCAAGCGTCCATGTTGCTGGACCATAGAAGCCAATAGGCAACCACTAAACCAGTGGTTCTCAACCTTTCTAGTGCCGGGACCCCTTGGTAACATTTGCCAAGTTGTGGTGACCCCCAACGGACCGCTGGACTCCAGAATTAGTAAGGTACTGGACTTGCCCGCCTCCTGCAGAGCTCACATTGTATGCAAGGCAGGAGGACAGCAGGGGCTGTGAATAGAAAAGCCCTGCTGTACACACTCCCCGACCACTAGATGTCGCTGCAGCAGCCAGGAAGTGTGTATAGCGGCACTTTTATATTCACAGCCTCTGCTGTCCTCCCGCTGACTGACACTGCTGCGCTAGGAGGAGGCTGAGAAGCCTCTCACCTAGCGCAGCAGAAGTGGATGCTGCGACCCCCCTCAACAGTGAGTTGCAACTCACTTTTGGGTCGCAACCCACAGGTTGAGAACCGCTGCACTAAAGGCTTGGTCTTCAACTGGTGGGTCGTGACCCAAAAGTGGACAGAAACAGGAACCATACTCCTTACCGGGATTCCCACTTGATGAGGATGGGTGCTCGAAATGACTGCAGATGGCACCGCCACACATGAACAATAGAAAAATGTCACCAGCACACCATAATATTTTATTGCCAATAGCTGTATCTCATTTTTCTAGTGACCCAAAAATGGGTCGCAACCTCGTGTTCAGTGGGTCACCGCATGCCTTCCACTTTTCTAGTTGAGAGGCTTCCCAGCCTCCCCCTAGCGCAGCACTGTCCTCGCACTAAGCAGCCATTCAAAATATGCCGCCCGGAGCCGAGTGTCAGCTTGAGGTGAGGCGGGATGGGTCTATGGCCGCGAGGGAGCTCCATCTATATGTGCATTGCTTACAGCTCCCTCACGTGTCCTGTGGAGGTGTCTTGACCGGAGCGACGTCATTAACGTGACATTCTGTTGCCCGGCACCTCTACAGGGCACGCAAGGGACCCGGACAAGCAATTCACATATGCATGGAGCTCCATCACTGCACAGCAGCCCACACTGGACCCCAGGCTGAGGATCCACTCCAGTTCTCGTAAGATAGGGAGACTGGGTGGATCTTAAAAAAAAGAACAAAAATAAAAACAAATATGGGAGTGTGTATGTGTGTGTGAGAATGTCTGTGAGTGTGTCAGTGTTTTTGAGGGCTTGTTCACACTAGTACAGTGCGTTAATCACACAGTCCCATGTGATTAATGCACCTAAGCATGTAATCACACCTACCTCACATTCTGGTGTAGGAGGTGTGTTGCATTGCCATTCATTTGAAAGGCACCCCAAATGCACCTCCCGCCCACCGTTCAATAGCCCGCACCGGAATGCACGGTACCACAACGCCATGCGCTTCTGTGCAGTGCGACTTGGGTCACAACTTAATGACCAGGGACAAATGTCGGTCATTAGGTTACACCGGTTGAGAACTAAGGCAAGGAATCCTGCCTTCTTGGCCTGTGAGGACTAGACAGTAGGTTTTGCGTTTGAGGCCGGGCACCAATCTGGGATCCAAATGGTGATTTCCTCTTTTGAAAGGGATTGTGACTACCGAAACCTCCTGAACTTGTAGCTTTTAAAAAAAAAATGTGATTACATTGTAGCTTTTATTTCTTATATGCCGCATAAAACAGCGTGCATATTGGTTCCTTTTCCGTGGTAGGCAATACATTTTCCATCGCGCTTTTTTTCACCAACCTCTTAAGCTTATGTAGAAAGGTTTATTCTGCTAGTATTTGAATTTTGCAATGCATTTTAGCTTTGTAGATGAAAACTTCACAATAGATGAAAAAAGAATGGAATAAATCTTGTATAATCTGTGGAGGAAATAGACATTGTGTTCCTACCAATTTGCCGGTAGAATAGAGAGAATGTTTATTCGGCAGTAATGTTTCACATAAACACAGTTATATGCAGCGCCAGTGTGTATATCGTCTCCTGGTCTGCCTCCTAAATGCTCGTTTATGTCTTTCTCTTTTCATCATTTCCTGTCCCCTTCTCTTCTTCTCTCTCTAATAAGGGCGATATTGATTTTGGGGAAAAAAAACATTCTCCTCTCAGGCTTTAGCTCAATTCCCTTTTGTTTTTGGTTGATGCTTTTAGATAACTTACAAGATTTCGTTTTTGTCAGTTTTATGGCTGATGTGTGATTTTCTTTTCTTTTCTTCTATTCACAAAATAAAAGGGACTTGTGTCAAGCTGGCACGGGAATCTAATCTGTTTGAAGATTTTTAAATACACTTTCACACGTGCATTCTGATCAGGTCCGCCTGTCAGTTTTTCGAGTTGACCTGGTTGGAAGCCCAATGTTAGTCTATGGGCAGCAAAATATAAATGGACAGGTTTCTGTTTAAATCCGGTTACCTCCGGCTCCGGCCAGGCCTGGAAAAACAAACGGATCGGAGTTCCATTTCGCTGGACCTGATTGTGCTGGATCGCAGGTAATCTGGCGTAAACCGACACTTAAGTCCACTTACATCCGATTCCCCATAGACCAAAATGGGTCTAGTAATTTTTTTATTTATTTTTTTCCTCCATTGCAAGATAGAGTTAAAAACTGGACAGGCACGGATGTCACAACTTCAACATCCTTTCTGATCAGCAGGGGATCCATCCGTGCATGGATCCCCTCCTGATCGGACTGCGTGAAAGGCCCTTTCACGCAGGTGTCATCAGTTCCATTGCATACAAAATGGATGAATATTGAATCAGTTTGCACATCTGTCTTCATTTCATTTTTTTTGTTTGTTTTTTGGGGGGTTTGTTGAAGAATGAAAGCTTCTGCTGCTACTTATCAGTAAGGGTTGTCCAGTTTGGGATCATAGCCTAGAACACGTCCTGCCACAGCCTCTGCTTTTCCACCCTATCACTGTATTGAGAGCAGAAGGTGTCCCTCAGGTATGGTCTGCTGTTGGACCAGATTAATAAGTGTCTTATGAGAGACCTCCCTGGCCTTGATTGCTGCACAAAATATATGCACAGAGCATCCTGAACCTTCCCCTCCCTATGTCCCACGTGGAGGTGGGCAAAAAACCCCAAAAACTGAATGGACATAAACTGATGACGTCCTTTTATATCAGTTTACACTACCTTTATTCTGTTCAGTTCCATCTAGGCCTGCAAAAATGGGAAAGGACGCAAACCTTAGGCCCCTTTCACAGGGCTTTCTGGTCAGGTCCACTTGTGACTTTTTTCAGCGGGATGCTAGTCTGTTGGCAGCCATAAATGGACAGGTGTCCATTTACATCTGGTTGCTCCCCGGCTCTGGCCAGGTCAGAAAAAACAGAAGGATCAGAGATCCCTTTTGCCGGTTCAGTGGTAACCGGATGTAAACTGATACCCGTCTGTTTAGATTCGGCTGCCCCTAGACTAACATGGGTCCGGTCAGTTTTTTCCTCCATCGTAATTTACTATTTATTTAAAAAAAAAAAGGAAACAAAAGTGTAAATGTTGCCCAGAGTGATCCAATGAGACTTTTTGATGTTTTATTTATACCCCAAAAAACACTTTGGACTCGTCTAGGTGTGCTAGTGCCACCAGTTGCTCCAGTAGTGATCTAGTGAGGCCACTTTTGCCATTTTTCTACTTTGGGAAAACCAAGTCTCCAGTAAGGCACTATGGACCACACAATTTGATTCTCATTTTGTTTTCTCTGTTTTTTTTTTTTCTAAATGGGCTCCTAAATACTCTCTTGGTGGTTTAGTTTATAATTGATTTCTTGCAGGCCGTGTTCAGCAGATGTGCTGTCTGCAGTGCTTGAATTACAGATATGTAAATCTCGATTTAAAAAATATAATCATGAAGCATTCTATTTAGTACTGAGCGGATATAGATATATATATATATTTTTTTCCCCCCCCAGGATGGAATTTTTAAGATGAGTCTCTCCCCGGATGAAACACTCCTGGCTGCTATCCATTTCTCGGGTAAACTGTCTGTCTGGGAGATGCCATCCTTGAGGCTGCAGGGAGAGTGGGCTCAGAATGAGCAGGTAAGTGTACTCCTTCTAATGTACTGCCTATTACCCAGGACTTCAACCAAAGACCTGAATGCAAAGTTGAGATACGTTTGTGAAATGTAAAAAAAACAAAAAACTCACCAAAAAACAGCAGTTCTCTTCCTATGATTCACAGACAACTGCTATGCTATATAGCCAAAGACAAAGAGTGACACCATTATTGCTTAAAACTCTGCAGCATTCTGGGTCATGCCTATGAGCTTAATTTCTGTGGGCTTCATGTCTACAGAGCTCATGTATACAGAGTTAATGTACTCGGGGTGCATGCCTACATAGTTCATGCCTCCAAAGCTCATGTCTACAGAGTTCATGTACCCAGGACTCATGTCTATGTACTCAGGGCTCGTGTCTATGGGGCTCATGTCTGAAGTTCACATACCCAGGGCTAATGTCTACAGCATTCATGTACTGAGGGATCATGTCTACAGAGTTCATGTACTCAGAGTTCATGTACTCAGGCCTTATGTCTACCTAGGTCATGTACCCAGGACTCATGTCTACATAGTTCATGTACCCAGGACTCATGTCTACATAGTTCATGTCTACAGAGTTCATGTCCACAAAGCTCATGTCTGTAGAGTTCATGTACCCAGGGCGCATGACTATATAGTGCTCATGTGTACATGCCTCATATCCATGGAGCTCATATCTACAGAGTTCATATCTCTGGGGCTCATGTCTATGGGGCTAATGAGTACAGAGCATTTTTTTTCCTCTTGTCATTATGCTCTTTATCTCAATAATGTCAACATCCAAATGTTCTTTATTCTGTGGGCTGCAAAATTCCTGATAGATTAATGGGCCACAGCTGCAGTCTCTTGCTACTACAGCAAAGTGGAAGTAAACCCCTATTTGAGAAAACGCTGACAGGTAGGCTGTCCTATACCCTGTATTTCTCTTCTGCCATAAATGCTTCTCCTTACCTGTCCGCGTCTTCCTTTTATGTGCTGTATGTATACAGTCTTGGAGCAATTCTGTGTCGGGGGGGAAAAAGTAACACCAGTGTGCATGTGCAGGAGTTGCGTCATCCTAGTCTGAATACTCCAAACTTGAAAGAAGACAGGGTGAAGATGGAAGCACTGGCTGTGGAGGGGGGTGCACACATTTTAGCTCTGAAAGAGATCACTTTGCGGGATAAGTCGGCCATATTGTGCTAATTTGTTGCCTGTACTTGAACATTCTGGCAAAAAGCTCAGAAGTTACGACTATGTCTGCGACCAAGCCCGTGATTGGGTTTAACGCGCCAGAGGGGGGGACACCTTGGGCGGGACATCAGTGATGTTGTACAAGCTTCAATAAACTATTCAAGCAGAATCTTATATGCAGCCAACTTTTCTTCTGTTTGCCGGAAGTTCAGCTTTAACATTGAGCGGGCGCATGTGCAGTTCAGATCTCCGGGAGACGAGGAGAGACGCAAGGTAACTCAATGCGGCTGCGTGCACCCGCACAGACTCCGTGGCGCAGGAAGTGCCAGCTGAGAGAGGAGTTAGCGCTGGAGGAACTCCTGAAAACATTTCAATTATTTAAGGTATGTCCTTGCACAAGCATTTATCCTTTAATGTCATTTTAAAGCTTAACTCTTGCTAAAAAACCTTTGCTGTAAATCCTGTATATTCCTTATTAGCCATAAAGGATTTAAATTCACTTTGTGTGCAAAACCCAGATATTCCCATATAAAATTAGCAGTGGCATCAGTACTGTGTTGTACATTGCCTGTGCAGAGAGCATAGCTGACCTGCAGGCCCCACCCACTACAGGCTGCCTGCAGGAGGGGGCAGGGACAAGACCAGTCACCCCACACAAGGAAAGAGAGCAGCAGTGACCGCACTTTATTACAAGAAGCTCTACTGGATTACCGCACAGATCTGGAAGAAATACACAAAGCACGCCAAGACTAAAGGAAGAATACACATGACTCTGGTACAGGGGTGGGCAAACTCTGGCCTTTCAGCTGCCGAGGAACTACAAATCTCATGAGGCATCGCAAGATTCATACAGCCACAGGCATGACTCCTAAAGACAGATGCATGACGGGATATGTAGATTCACCATAGCTGGAGGGCTAGAGATTGCCCACCTCTAGTCTGGTAGTTAGTGCAAACTTTTGCAATCTGTAGAAAGTATTGTCTAACGCGCCAGCGTCCAGGTATGCCAGATACTTTACTTTAACATTGCAAATGTTTTTTTCCCCAAAGTTCAGCTTTAAAAATAAATGTACTTTTTAATGAATACTTTACCTGCATTCATCGCAGTTTTAAAAGTGCTCGGGGTCAAGCTTTAATGGCGCCCATTAGTCCGTATTCAGCATCGGCATAGACATGGAACAAGTACATTGGGTGAAATCTGAAACTTTCCAGACCGTCACCCCGCATTTCCATAATGCGTTTTGATTCTTAACTTCAGTTGTTGACTTCAGGTCCGCATTGAGATTCAACCTTTGCAAACTCTTGTACATTGGTGTTTTTTTTTCCATCATCGGGCTTGTCAGCGGAACACGTCCACTTTGCATGACCTAATTCTTTAAATAACAGTAATTAGCGCAGGGAAATAATTGTGCCTGGCCTCTCCACGAGATGATTTCCAATGCGTCCTGGCACACACTGCCTGCCGTGGCTGTTTAACATCGAAAACAAGTGCCGGCTAAGAGTGATAATGTGTGGTATTATCTAATTGAATTGGCATTGAGAGACCTTTTAGAGAGAGCCGTGTGCCATTTAAACATGTAAACTCCCCGGCCAAAGAAATGTTGCTCATAAATTATTGCTTGTATTGAATAAAAAACACAAAACGTACAAACAGCGCTCTTGTAATGATAATAAGGGGGTGAACAGTGTATGACCCTAGATCGTGTGCAGCCCTAAAACCCAGGAGGAGTGCCTGTGTATCTGCAAACTTATCGTAGGGGAGCGTGCCTAGTGTACCGCTGATTCTTTTCCACACCACTCAGCCCCTGGACTCACACACGGACTGAGTCCCCATCCCTGTGGTTGCTCTTTTTCCCCCCCTTTTCTTCCTCGCCCACAGCCTCCTCTCCCCGTGTGGATGCACATCCCCTGGCTCACCAGTTCCAGGTAGATACCACGGATGACCCGATCCTTTGCACCGGCCGTCCATCCTCTGGTCCCGTGAAACGAAACGTAAGTCCTTTTTCTTTTTCCTCAGCCATCCTTCGGTTTTTTGCCCAGTGCACCCATTGTCACACCATTCTCCTGTCATTTTCCCTGGGTCTCCCGACCCGGTCAATTAGCCCACCTAGTGTTGCGCCCTTTTGGGTTTTTTGTTTCAAGTTTGCTTGTATTGAATGTGGATGTCACCATGTAAACAGTGATGTATGCACTTTTCTTTTTAACCCTTCGCTGCCAGAGCTAGTTTTTAATTGTTTGCTTACTTGTTAAAGGTAAAGTATTGGGAGAGTACAATGTGCTCTTCCCAATACTTAGACAATACAGCTGACACATGCCCTCTCTATAGATCGAGAAATCCCTGATCACTTGGCTCATGGTCTTCTCTTTACAGGGAGCTGTGACTGTCACAGGGATTCCCACCTCCTCTCTCTGTTCCTCCAGCGCTCATTGGAGAGACAGACAGGGAAGGGGGCGGGGACAGCTGGCTCTGCCTCTAGAGAGGCAGAGTCAGCTGTCAATCAGGCAGCGGGGTGGATCCCAACAATATTGTCAGGCTCTTTCCCGGCTGCAGGGGCGGCTCTGCGCTGTCAGCAAATAGTGTCCAGCACTCATTGGAGGCACAGTCAGGCGAGGGGGCAGGGACAGCTGGCTCTGCTTCTAGAGAGGCAGAGCCAGTTGTCAATCAGGCAGTGGGGTGGATCCCGACAATATTGTCACACTCTTTCCCAGCTGCATGGGGTGTTCTGCGCTGTCAGAATTAATGGCCAGTAGCCCACTAAATGCTGACTTTGGGTCACAGGAGGACATTAGTAATTGTACTTCTTTGACCCAAAAGAGAACTAAAGCCAAAACAAATGCTTGGCTTTAGTTCTCTTTTAAAATCCAAATTTTAGGCCTGAAGGTTACTTCAATCCCCCAGAATTATTTATTTTCTGCAAGCAGAGACCCTGTAAAATAAAATGGTGGCAGTTGCAATTTTTTTATGTCACATGATATCTGCACAACTGATTTTTATTTAAAAATAAGTTTAAGCTAATTTTAGTTCACATTAACACAATGGGAGGGAATTTATCATAGGAATTGCGAGTGCTTGAACTCGCATAGGGTTGCACGCGATATATTTGCGCCAGATTTATGATGCTAGTGTAATGTTTTTCATAAATGAGGTTAAATAGACTCCAGGAAAGAAGACTTGTAACTTGAGGCAAAACGCGTAACTGTCGCTTCTTGAAGAAGTGGTCATGGGGACGTCTTAAGTAGCGATTGTTTTGTTAGGTGATGCTCCAGTTTAAGACAGCCGCAGGACAAGCGCAGATGTAAACAGTTGTGAACTTTTGCATGAACAGTTGCTGGAGTCTGCACTGGCCTTTGTGATCTTGTACTGAACAGGAGGTTCAGGGAAGATGAGTTGAGAGACTTAGAAGCAGCTGTTCAGAAACATGATTGTAAGTGTTTGGGCAAAAATTTAAAGCAATGCTGTGCTGGACAATCTATATTTGTTTGATGTGGATTCATTATGGAAAAAAAGTTTTGAGAGTTTAATCCTTGCTGTGTAGGGGTAGTCTCTCTGCAAGGGTTAAGAACACTTTTGCCCGGTGTTCTGCTTTAGGCTTCAAAATTGCATGCGCCTGTGAAATGGTGCAAAACTACGGTACCTAAAAGTGTCGATAGGTGATGCTTGAAAAGCGTTTAAAGGTCATTTTACAGTAAATAATGATAATGAATAATCAGTGAATATTGGCCTGAGAATTATTGCTCTCACTCCAACGAGCGCAGTGATACCTAACATAGGAAGATTAAGATTTTTGGTTTCTGTGTTTACATTTATTTTTATTAAACATTTTTTTC